GATAAGGAAGACCTTCGGTCAAAGGAAATAGATGTGGAAGGTTGCTGTCGAGATCGACCGTTGTATAAATATTTAAAACAATAATCACATAAATAAAATTTTAATTTATCTCTCTCTCCAAACATACTTTTTTTAAGAGAACTATATAAAAATTTGTTAAAACAAAAGGCTGGARAAAAAATATTATTTTAAATAATCTATAAAAAATGTTCTACTGATTTAGGATCTACAAAAATAAGTTGGAAAACATGTATTTTGTTTTTGGTATTTTGATTTCTTATTTTATTTTAAAATATTTACGATTTTGTAACGCCAATAATAAGTTATAAAATGGGTATCTTAAAAYAATTTCAGTTTTTTTAATCCTCTAGAAGCTATTAATTATAATGATGTAGTTTTAAATTAATTAYGATTAAAGATTTAAAAGTTTGATGAAAAGGGTCTAGAAGGTCATTGGGTTGTGAGCAAAAGAAAGCTTTGTGTCAGACATCTTTKTACRTGAAGACAGATATTTCGGTGCATTTTTAGCTTTACCCCTTCTCTTTACTATTATTTACACTTGTGCATTTATTGCTTTGTCTATTCCCAATACATCATAGGAATCTTTGAAATTAAAACCTAACATTTACATTTGCTTGATTTTCAAACATCCCTCTTTAACATACTAAAACGRTAAAACTGAACAAATTGATGCGTTTTTATATGTCGATAGGTTCGGAACAATTTGGAGCGAAAAAGRGACAATAWGAGGAATTTTTGACAGCTTTACGAGACTACAGTATTTCAAGCATATCTAACTCATCCGAGCTCGGATTTAAGTTATTCAAGATGATATAGAAATCTAACAAACAACCCCACAATTTTTAGGTTTTGAGTTTCTGCAGATTCGGGCGGCTTCTAAGACGAAATTGACGTCGAAGGTGGAAAAGAGATGCTGGACCGCAGCCACGAAAGTCTTGATCTTACCTTAAGAAAATTTACATGCTCCCTAAAATAGTACTTTGGACTTGTAGATAAACATCCCAGAACTTGTTAGAACCTCACGAAGCTTGCAAATCTCTTCAGCTCAAATTTGGCCTGTTACATAACACACCCCAATGTTATTCAATTTGTTCTTGTAACCACCAACCCAAATAAGAAAATCAGAAACATCTATAATATTTCCATATAAAAGTTTAATAGCAACAAACTGTTACTGTTTCTTCTAATTTCTTAGTTTCAATCGAGTTTACATTTAGTGATGGCCACATCAAATGAAATCATTTCTCAAAACTGCATAAAACAACTGAAGAACAAACTGACCTCTGTTAACGATGGAGGATCTAGATAATCGGGATATGATGAACAGAAATGAAATCAGAAAAAGATGCAATACCTATGATGCATAATTTATGAGATTCACATAAGGAGTTTCCAACAATTGAACCACCTGCAAGAAACAATATATGAGGATAAACAAGACACATAGCCCTGAGATTTAAGAGCTTTCTTTCTAAAAATGTTTCAAAAATTATCTTGTATAATGAACCGGTTCATATGACTCACAGCCACTGGCCCCATGGGTGTTTACTGAATTACTGTTAGAAACAGAGGGGTTCTACATTGATTCAAACATCAAAATCCAATCATAACAGTAAATGGAACATTAATCAAGCCCAAGTCTTATAGGTAGATTTRAATCAATAGATCATGTATAATATCTTCTTTACATTACCATTATAAAGCATGAATAACATGATTTTGAATCGGAGAGCAAAGTACTTTGTTGAGCTCTCCAAAAAACAAGATTAGATGGTTCTCATTTACTTGAATMTGARTAAAGGTGCCTTTTTGTATTCCTTTATTATTCATCTTATTTGGCCTTAAGAAATTGCAACATGGATACCTTCAGAGGGAAAAAACTACATTAGTTATTACATCTCACCATTGAAATAAAAGGTTGATGCTAACACAATGTCCTAACTGGCTAACTTATGGATCAATTGGCACCATATTTCATTTAGTGCATGGGGCATGATTTAAGGGTGCAAAGATCTAACGATTAGTGTGATATCATGATACAAACCCAAGGGTGATAATCACACATATCGATTTTAGGCTTGTAATTTATATCTCCTTGCCCAAGTTATTCTAGCAAATAYGCACAACAAATTTAAAACTATGAATTAAACAAATACCTATGAATTTCCTCATGGTAATAAAAGGACAGTAAGTAAACATACCCTCATAAGAAGGGCATTGCAAGTCTTCTCCTTGATTGCTTTGTCAACACACTGAATCAGATAAAATGAGAAACTAAGAATCGGTATTTACTCTCTACAACTTCGAGGTTAGAGAAAGCTTTATTATACCTTAGGATTTGTGACAAAGAGATCATAACCATAACCATAACTTGCATCTTGCAGCTGCTCACCAATTTCTGTTGTCATCTTTGCATAATGTTCCCAATCATCCTGATCGAAAGGATCCTATATGTATATAACTGGGTAGTCACTAAAGAATGGTAATAAAAGGACAGTAAGTAAACATTCTTTAAACTGTCGTCTGATATCTTCTGTGACACATCATCGTTCTGCAACATATAAAGTTCTTTGTATTTAATTTCCTTCTTTGTTTCTGTCAACACGAAAATAGAATTAACTTGTTTCTTTGAGTTGACTTATACSTCTTCCTTGAAATTCAAACAACATGTTTTATCTTTGTTATCATAGAATTCAGATGCAACACATCCATTCCAATAACAACCTGCAATGAAACTGTTAAGATTTAAAGTTACATTCAAAAAGCGATATCTTTGAAGAGGTGATTAAAAAAACCTCCTTTCTCGTGCATCCARCTTTTGCTATTGCGGTATTGAAAAGCTCGAGACCTTTTTTTCCTGCTTTTCTGCAATGATAGAAATATTAGGGGAAACCATGAAATCCTCATGTTCATAACATGCAAGTATGGCACCACAAACACATTCAATGCTTTATCATAAGAAGATTAGGGAAAATGTAGTTTTGAATGATTGATATAACCAGAGTGCACTCTGTGATAGTCCACGGCTTAAATTGGTTGGATAGTTGTTAGTTGGAATGCATGTCAATCACGTAATAAGAAAAGAATATCAGGTGGGAATCACAAGCGTTTTGAATATCCAAAACCTCCATARTTCTTGCCAGATCACATCTCTACCACCCCACCCCACTCCACCTACCCCACCTATCAAGAAGAAGAAGTAGTAGCAGCAATTTGAACCTGCAAATCTGGAATCCGACAAAAAGCTTCAAAGCGATGTTTATTTGGCAAAAGTGGCGACGACCTCCGTTAAATCTCCGAATCGGAAAATAAACCTACCGGATCAATCGGAATCCGTACCAAAAGCAATCCAAACATAAGCAATCACATACATAAGCAATATACACAGAGAGAGAGAAACCGTACCAAAAGCTTCAAAGGGATGTTTATTTGGCAACAGTGGTGACGACCTCGGATAAATCTCTGAATCGGAAAATAAAACCTACCGGATCAATCGGAAACCGTACCAAAAGCAATCCAAACATAAGCAATATTAGAGAGAGAGAGAGAGAGAGAAACCGTACCAAAAGCTTCAAATGGATGTTTATTTGGCAACAGTGGCGACGACCTCCGATAAATCTCCGAATCGGAAAATAAAACCTACCGGATCAATCTGAAACCGTACCAAACGCAATCCAAACATAAGCAATCATAAACATAAGCAATATACAGAGAGAGAGAGAGAGAGAAACCGTACCAAAAGCTTCAAAGGGATTCGAATTGTTCACCAAAGGCATAAAGGCTTCAAAGGGATTTTGATTGAATAATGGATAAAGAGAGTAATGGATAGAGAGAGAGTGCATTGAGAAGGGATGAGAGTGTCTCGAGGGAAGTGTTGACAAAGCATAAAGCATCATTCCAAATTTCAAATTTGAAATTTGGTGGTGATGGTAGAGGGGTTAAATTTACTGCATTAATAAGTTGTACATTATGCTTTATAATTTGTCTTTAAGAGTTTTTTCAATTTTATGCATAAAATGATAGTACATTATGCTTTGTTGTTTGTAATTAAGATAATGGTGTAAATGGTTATATATGTAGTATAGATATATATATATATATAGCTTGTTTTTAATAAAATTAAATATTCAAATTTATTATATAATTGTATAATATGTGTAAAGATAGACAATGATGTCAACATGAGTATATATATATATAGACTTGGGATCGTGTAAGACCAAGAGTTTTTCGTGAGACCCGTAAGATCAATTCTCAACCCTTGGATTAGATCTACAATCCGAATATTCATAATCACAAAATTGCCACGAGACTTCTCAATAATCACAAAATTGCCACCGTGCAACTTTAGACCATTAGATCATTAGCTTATAAAGTTGATCAATAAAAATAAATTGGTCTTCCGGGTCTCACGAAAAACCATTGGTCTCACGTGAACCCAATCATATACATGAGATCATGTGAGACCAAGGGTTTTTTGTGAGACCCGTAAGACCAATTCTCAACCCTTGGATTAGATCTACAATCTGAACATTCATAAACGCCACAAGACTTCTCAATAATCACAAAATTACCACCGTGCAACTTTAGACCTTTAGATCATTAACATATAAAGTTGATCAATGAACATAAATTGGTCTTACGGGCCTCACGAAAAACCATTGGTCTCACATGAACCCAACCCTATGTGGATATATATATATATATATATATATATATGTGTGTGTGTGTGTGTGTATGTGTGTGTGTGTATATAGGGTCAGGTTTAAATGTTAACCAAAGTTTTTGTGTTAACTTTGTTAACCGATCTTGGCCATTGAATGTTTCAATAAACGTTTGAGATTAATCATGATAAAATTTTATTTTTTAAAATTTAAAATTTCATAATGTAACACCCCCGTCCCGCGTGGTCAAAGACGGGAGATGCCACAAGTGGTTTAAAAAAAATCAACGCCTTATATAAAACAGAGCAGCTAATAAAGTTTACCAAAAGATAATTACATAACCACAGACGGAGATAACATGTCTCAAAATACGGTCCCAAAATACCAGTCTATCTACATTAGTCATCAAAAGTTAGCAAAAGTATGACGTAATGAGTTATCTTCAATATTGTCATCTCCGTAGTTCTCATTCCAAAATCCCTACTAAGTCATGTACTTGGCGAGGACAAAAAAATCTCGGTTGCGCTTAATGCTCAGTGAACGGATAATAATATAACTAAACAATGAATATGAGATAACAAGTTCAAAAACAATTTATAACACTAAGTGATAATTCAAAAGAAAATCAAAATGCCCCAAAAGCATGTCAAGGGTCCAAAGACCAAACCGCATCACGAGGACGCGTTGTTCCCGAAGGATGATCAGTCCATTTAGGCATTAGTGAGGAAAGGGGTGTGAGCACAACACAACAATCCTCTCCGTGGATTTAACCACGTCCACAATTTATTCTCCGATAACGGTTCCTAGGATCGATCCATACGCCCTCTATTCGACCGGAACATAATCAAGTCCACCTTTAAAGACTATAAAAATGAGGATGCTGTTGAACCCGATACTCTTAATTGACAGAAACACAGTTTATGTAAGATGAGAATTAAGAACAAACAATGTATCTCGAATGATTAATCAGAATATTCAAAGATGAAAGTAAAACATTGAATAAACTTGAATATGCTGAATGCTTTTATTGATAAAAGATGAATAATTGAAGCACAAACGTAATCTCACAGAAAATGCGTATAGTGTAAGTCAGTTCCTTCAGGTCATTCAAACCTGAGGCGGAAGCCTCCTTATATACACGTAGTTCTAACAAACTATGCTATAAAATAGGCGTGAAACTCTGAGCTGACTGGTCTGCATCCTTATCTTTGACTTCCCTTGAATAGCGGAGCAGACTTGCTCAAGCCGCCTCAAATCTATTAGACGCTTGCAAGAATGTCTGGGCTAAAACGCACGCATTTCATGGAGAAGGTAGCCAGAAGCTCTGTATGTACTATGCAGAGGCTCTGCATATGCAAAAGCTCTGCATGTACAATGCAGAGGCTCTGGGTCTTGGAGTTGTAACTTGGTGTCAAGCGCTTATGCTTTTTGGCGCACAAGGCTTGAGCGTCCACGGGAATAGAGCATGGGCTCTGTATGATTGGAACCTTCACTCTTGAGTAAGAGCTTTGATTCTTGATCTTCTATATGAGAGCTCTTAGTCCAGACCGCTTCACTAGACTAAGTCCTATTGACTAGAGTAAGAGAATTCTTACTTACACTTTCACAAGTTGGGGTCTAACAATCTCCCTCTAAGTGAAAATAAGGCAGGCTCTTACTTGAATTACAAAACAGTCTAATTGAAGCAAGAGGTTAAAAGGAACCTCTGAATTACATTTACTATCTAAAGAAGTACAATACGATTGAAATGGAAATTACATCAAATCAAAGAAAGAAAAGTACTTACAAAAGATAAGAGGTCTAAACATTTTGATGTCTAATGAACTTCCTAAGAAGTTCACGAAACTCTAGCATATTTCTTATCGACCTTAGAATGATTTTTGCTCGATCCTTTGCTCTTGGGGAGTTGTCACTGCTCCTGACTAGATTGTCTCTTATGTAGCGCATAGTAGAGTTAGAGTACTTATAGTTCTAGTTGTCTCGAAAGAAGATCTTCTTTGGTTGCGCATTTCGAAACACCGCTCCTATAACACCTCCAAACACCACATTTGCATATAACACATATTTCATTACATAGAAATATAGTTTACATCACAAGATCCCACTAGTACAAGGATTCCTATATACACAAAATCTACATATGAAAATTTTCAAAACAAATCCTGTACTTAATACATGTAATACAACATGTATCTTCAAAATAAGCAATCTTAAGCAGATCTTCAAAAGCAGATAACAGGTTAGAAAAATAATCACATTTTCCCTTTCCCCTTAATATCCCTAGACCCCGCCATTCCTGCATTGTAAAATTTTAAAACAAAAAATGAGGGTTAGACCAAAAGGGTCTAGTGAGTAAATTCCTTCTTTGCAAATGCAAGGTGATAAACACCAAAATATGATAAAATATCTTTGCTCAGGAATATTTGCAATACAATCAAATAAAGCAGTCCTCAATGACAAGTATAGAATAAACTCAAGAATCTCAGTTCTATTATAAAAATATATCTGCTTAAAGATCCAATGTTCCCAATATGAAACAAATATTATAACCAAAGCTTCTTTGAATCATCAGACTAAAAAGACCAGAATTCCTCTGAAAAGATTTAAGGCAATACTTACCCTTTATGACAAAACATTTTCCTCTTATCAATAACGTCTAAATTATTATTTCTAATAGGGATAATATCTCTAATTCATCAAGTCACAAAGAAATGATGATTCAAATCTATTAAATCCTATTAGTAATAATAATAATAAGAGTTATAATAATATCTATATATGACAATGCCTCCCTTATTCCAAGTACACCTCTCCTTGATATACCACCTTTATTCCTTCACCAAAACAAGGCTACTTATCAGAACAGACAAAAGTCACCACGTCTGAAAGTACCCATTCCCAGTTCCAAGCCAGAACAGACAAAAGTCACCACATATGGGGGAACTACTTCATTAAAACAAGTTTCATACCAAAACAGACTTACGTCACCACGCTTGGTAGRAARRTTTCYCAAAATAYAGTTTCATACCAAAACAGACTTACGTCACCACGCTTGGTAGAAATAGTTTACAAAAATCCAATTCCATACCAAAACAGACTTACGTCACCACGCTTGGTAGGAAGGTTTCCCAAAATCATAGTTTCATACTAAAACAGACTTACGTCACCACGCTTGGTAGAAACATTTTCACAAATCCAGTTCCATACCAAAACAGACATACGTCACCACGCTTGGTAGGAACATATCTTTTTAATTTAAAAAAATATAAATACCCCTTTTATACATCCATAATTAAACCCAATATTAGACATTTTTAAATTATATTAAATGTCTAAAATATTCAACAATTGAAAATTATCAAATATAAATCACCCGGATAAGTTATCCGAATATACAATCTGGACAACACTATCCCTTCTTGTTTGATATACTAATCCGAACAAGACTTGATCGAGTTAAGACCAAATCGCATGATTCATGTCCGGTTTAAGGCACTCCGGACAACACATGATTGGTCTAAGACTAAACCGCTCAATACGTGATCGGTTTATAACTAATTCGTACGACCCTTAGGCGATTTAAGGCTAAACCGCACAATGCTTGGTCCTATTCATACTTATCCGTTCAAAACCTTTCTCCGATTTATATAGTTCAATTTCTCACTAACACCCTAAATCGCATAACACTTAAGCGATTTATGCATAAATCGAATAACTCCTATGCGGTTTAAGAGTAATCCGGACAAGCCTTGCCCGGTTTATACTTAATCCGGTCACCCTTTGTCCGAATAAAACTCTAAATTGCACAAACCGATTTTAAGATTAGTATGCAATTGTTTCTATGGTAATAATCAAAGCTTCTAAAAAAGTATTTTTAGAAATCACTCACCTTATGCAATTACTTTGATTTTGAAGAAGAAAAATGAAAAGTCAAAAGATGACCAGGATAACTTTTCTCTGATTCTCTCCAGGCTTTCCAAATGAGGCAAGAAACCTTGCTTCATGCCCAAATTCTACTTTTATACTTCCTTTTTAGAGAAGTCGGCCAAATTGGTCTTCACCCACATGTATGCATGCATGCAAAACATAGCCATGCATGAGTAGATACATACACCCAT